CGGCCAGATGAGCACATGGATAACGAATGATAAGCGGCATGTTGGGTGTTAGCTTTCGCACGAAACATGGGACGGATTCCGAATCAGCTTTCTCGGAAGTTCCGACGTCAACACGCCCGCCTGGAAGATGACGTGTGAGTTGCTGAGAGACGAGGCACTTGGGAATTTGTCTAGGACGACGGAGAAGGGAACAGAGACCGAAAGGGGGTTGGTGATTAGAGGCCATCAAGCAGCGCAGATCCGGCGTGGGTCCTGCAATGAAAGAGAGGGCAGAGGGATGGCCTGAAGAGAGAACCGACGGTGAGCCGAGTTTCTAGGAAATGGAAAAGACAGCAATACGAGGGCCGAACAGTCGCCGTGCGGTCTTTGGTCGGAGCATCTCACAGCGCCCGCCCACTAGTGAAGTCAGCCGTGGGAGGAGTGCCGGTGTGACCCGCGGAAGCGGCAAGAAGTGGGAACCGGAAAACCGCGACCTCCGGCACTCCGTTCCGGCGATGGTGGGGCCATCTCGGAAGCTGACGATATACTGCAGGACGACGCTCTTGCGCAGTAGCGTAGGTAGTATGAAAGGCTTGCATGTGGGAGCCGCGACGCAGCATAACCAGTACGATTACTGGACCTTTTCCCCCCCTGACACAATGTTTTGGGTTGTCAAGATGGAGGGGAGGAGAGAAAGGAGGGCGGACGGGCCATGGCGTGAGGTTCGTCTGTTGATGACCCTCCCCCATTCCATTGCCACGTGAAGCCACTTTGACCACGTGAAGAACAGGCCACTCGGAGTTTGGCTCTGCCGCTTTGCCGTATGGTACGATAATCCAATCGCTCTCGCTGGTTTTGCTTCCCTGAGGGTTTGCCTGGCTTTCTGTTGACGAATGGGGTGAAAAGATGGAAAGAGGTTCTCGGATGAGACGATGAGATTGTTCGAGTCAGCTTTCCACGTTGGGTTTTGACCTTCTTTACACGTGAGCGGGAGTTCGTGCCGAGATGTGGTGGGAAAGTGGTGGCCGTCAGATGGAGGATGGAACCAGTGTCGGTTCGGCGGTGCTTGCGGGGGAGAAGGAGGAGGAAGGCTATGAGCTGCCTTCTATGCATGTGGCGTCGAAGCAAAGAGCTTCTCGAAGTTTTTGCGATGGGCTTTGGAACCTTGGAAACATGATCGTTCTCAGCACAGACGATGAGGATCGCAGGAGAAACGCCCAAAAATACAAAAGCACGCGGTAGGAAATCTACCACGACGATGGGCCGAAGATGTCCGGCCGCGGACGTTGAAGATCGTTTTGGCTACAATCCGACGCGGCTCCCGGCTATTGCAAAAGGAGTTAGGGAAAAAGCAGCTAGGGACAGGCCCGGGGAAGGGAGGAAGAGAAGGGAAAAGAAAAAGGATTTGGCGGCTGACGCCCTATGTTTTGAGTTATACTCGGAAAACTCGATGCGCTTGTGAATGCAGAGATCCTGGTAGCCACGAGGCATGGGTAGATGGATTGCTGCGATGCCAACTGTGTATGTAGTGGTCACCGTCGAACCGCATTGGCGTCTTGGATGATACCTTTCTCCGTCTTGGTCGATCTTCCTTTGACCCGGTGGGATGCATACTGCATGAGCGTCGGAGGAGGAGGCAACGTGTTTGACAGAACTCTACGACTCGCTGGCGGAATCTGATACGGTCAACGTTCACTCCTCGGCTTCTTCCCCCTTCTTGTGATCAGAGGACATGCAGATGTCAGGCCATTGCGATCGGATAACGACTAGAGGATGTGCAACGGCATAGTGCCGGCAGCGTGCAGCCGGCGGCGTGTCGAGGCGCAGAAGCCAAGTTTGGAGTTCGAGAGTCAACGAACAAAACCAAGCGTAAATGTGCCAGCTGCAAGACGCTTCGCTCCTCGTATCAACAGTATGAAGAATGTTCTACTTGCTGTGAGAACCCTGGCCTCGAATTTCGCACTGCCAACAATGTTGATCAGTGACAATGGACTGAGATAGACGAAACCTGGACAAGGAGTCTCCTTGGCCACAATTTCTGGATGCTTCGTTTCCTGATGCTTACTGCTTATGGAGGGTTTGTTTTAACCGCTGAACGCAGGTCTATTCCGTGAAACAAAGTCATGAAACCCGCGGGTAGATACAGAACGCATATGCATCTCGTTGGAATGCACATATCCCCTGTCAAGTCTTGTGACGAGTGACATCGCTCTCGGGAATTGTTTTGAATAGATTTCCGCCAGGATTTGCTGTCAACGACGAATGGTACGCTAGAAAGTTTGACTTGCGGAGTTCGCTGCCGTCACTGAGTCGTGTTCCGAAGCGGTTAGGTGGCTGGAGTCTTGAAGATGGAATCGGATAATAAGTCAGCAATGCACGAGCAGCATCGCGAGCCGTAGTCCTGGGTTGACCACGCGCGACATCGTGTCCACAAAATGTCTGTCTTGAGGCATGAAACGGCGTATCCGGGGCGGAGAAGGTGACTCATGTTTGGACACATCGTGAGGCCTCTTCATGCGAGTTTGGAAAGCCATGCAATGCGTGGCATGAAGACCCATAATTGTTGCTTGAGAATGAACGTGGCCAACCGTGGACTAGTCAACGGTCATGATTACTTGAGTTGCCATGCCGTTGGTAATGGTAGTGCTGGGAACCGAACATCCCAGGAGGATAGCAAAGTATACAGACGACACCATCTATGACCACCGAGAACCATGGATGATGGCTAGTCCGTAAGCTCAAGTCGAGATGAATCAGCCAATCTGCCGATCCGAGAACAATGATAGATGCCCCATTGACAAGTCGATGATGTGCAGTGGACGAATCCATCCGCATTGACTGGGGAGCACCGACAAGTGCGGTCACACGACGCCGTGGCCAAGTCTCGACCAAAGATCTAACCAGACCAGGGAACGAAGGCAAACGGTGACTTTCGGACGATCAAACTGGGCAAAATATGACGATAAGCGCATGTCACTGTTAGAGATCTCTGGGGCTGATGGTGAGACTGCTGTGCCCTGTTTCGGGGTCCTTCTGTTTTGACAAACGGGATGATGAAAGGTGGACAATGCCATCGTGCAGTGGGATGATGGCGCCGTGATCTATTACTGGGTCAGCAAGGCATCTTCCTCGGGCGAGGTAGATTCTTACGGTCTCAGGCAGTCCAAGTTTGCTTCGGCTGCCAAAGGAGATGTGCGTGTATCATTGCACTCCCATGGAGAGGTTACCGTGGATCATTGTGCAGTGTGAAGGTGATAGAGTGGCTCGATCTGGTATTCTGCTGAGACTACCCGCATATCTCCCAGCGACGCGCCGCGAATTGCCATTGTCTCTCAGGCTTTGATGGCGGGTTTGTGGTTCGGCTGGACCGACTACGGATAGAGTCTGGGGCTTGGAGATGTGGTGAAGAAGTTGGGCGTGAGACATTGTGTCTTGATGCGAGACACTCACGAATAGGCACCAAAGCAAGGAACGTCGCTGCCCAGCGGTATCAATCTCCTTCTCTACACAAATAATTGCCAGTTGCAGCACCATCTCCGGTGCAGGGTCCTCCCGCACTGGCCTGGTAAGGCGCAACGACTCGTACTAGCCGAAATGAGACATAATGTCTGAGGCAGGAGGGTTAGAAATGCGAGCACAGGCGTAGTTGCAAATTGGAGCGCCTCGAGTAAGGTGGAATTTGAAAAGGAAAGCGAAAGAGACGGTTTCGAGGAACCCGAGGAAGCGAAAGCCGATGGCCCATACGGATACTCCTACTGTGCATGGAAGTTGAGGCAACCGTTGGAGGACTTGTAGAAGAATATACGAGGTAATACGAGGCACTCGCCAACTCAAGAGCACTGGAGAAAAGTCAGTTTCGAGACGTCTTCCCAATCGCGGTTGGTACATTGAACGTGGTGAGCCAAATTTGGGTCTACTCGTCAACCCACAGACGGCCTAACACGAGAAATAGCGGTGTTTGTTTCTTCATCACGCTCGCCAACTTTGGAAGTCTTGGCGTGGCTTCGGCGCCATTCCTCGTGACCGGCCCGTCCATTGCTCGAGAGTCGGAGCAAAAGGTCAACTGCGTGATGTCTCCAACGGGCCGACGGGGAGGGGGGGATTTTCGTGTAGGAATAACAAATAAAGAAAGAATATTATAGTAGAAAGCGGCTCAGCCAACACATCGACCTGCAGCGTGCATCCTATCTGCAAGGTCCCGAATTGCCCCCACCTCGCTCTGGTTGGTATTGATTGGACCAGTGTGGAGTGACGACGATGCAAAAAGGAGAGAAAATGGGCAGAGATGGGTCGAGTGGTCCTGACAAGCACCATGATCCCAGCAAAGCCACGCGGGCAGAGGAAAAGCAAGAGGATGTGGTGCTGAAGAACGGATGTTGCGGTTCCTCACCCTTTCTCTGCTCTGCTCCGTAAGAGTACCGTTACTGTGTACGCAGTAATAGATAGGTAGTCTGATCGAACTGGCCCTTTTTTCGACCAAGCTCTTGCCATCGCAAGGTAACAGGTCCATACCTTGGGGTAAGGTAAGGAAGGTAGCCTGGATGAGGGTTAGTTTGAGACGGCGGACCTTTGGCAAGGATTGATTTGGGCTGCAGCCTAGGTACGGAAGGTTTGCGCGTTGGCCGTTGGTTTGCGGTAAGGGAAATGGTGGTAATTTGCCCAACTTTGCATTCTTCCATAACTTTATCGGACGGAATATGCAGACGCCAAACAGACAGGAAGATAGGTATATTGCAAACTGGCGTGCTTCGTACATTGCAGGTGCAGATGCAGTTGCATTTGGCAGTTGCATTCGATTTCCAGTCAGGTTGCAGCTGCAGTCTCCTTTCACAGCCGCCTCCCTTCTTTCCCTGCCCTGGCTGCCATTGCCTGGTACCTGCCTCCATACAATTTACCGTGTTACTGCAATGTACTTTGTAAGGTACGAATACTCCGTACTACATACCTACGGGGTATGTGGAAGGTGTAGAAGGTCCCGCTTTTCCTTTCTGCCCCTTCCCTCCACGTCGCCGGTATCCTCAATGCGTGACGACACCATCGTGGCTGGCCTATCTGTTCCGTCATCTGCACGTCCCAGTTCGGCATTCATGTCCTTGCAAGTTGACTCGCCCACATTCATCGACATCGGGAACCGGGGACTGGACGGGGGTGGGCAGCTCAATCAAGTTGCAAGGCTGGAATGAAATTGTCCGGTCTTGCCGTGCAAGCGTTCCAGCGTCTTTGCGCCCGCAAACGATCATCAACTCCCGCATCCTCGTCTTAACATCGCGGACTACATACCTCTTACCGCAACCAGATCTCACCTGGACCTGTCACTAACTCCCCAACACCCCCGAACAACCACGAATACCAAAAGGCCTCTACTCCGTACCATTCATCCACACTTTACCGTCCAGTCTCCCCTGTTCGCAACCACGCGCCTCCGCCGCTTCTGAAACAGCCTGACGCACCCCAGGGGCTTCCACGTCGACCCTCGATCCTCGACCCTCGAGCCCCCCTTTTGCCCTTTTGCGCACATCTCGCACCACTCACGCATCGCGCCAGTCTGTTGACTCTTCACTATCCACTGCACCACTGGGGCCCGGCTTTCACCGCATCGTGGTCCACGCAAGGGTTGACCCCTGGCTACGACTCCACTGCTTCGAGAAAATCCATCGAAGGGCCTCCATACTTCCGATCCAACTCCCAGTCATCTCTGCTTCGCCTCCCACCGCCCGTCCGTCCTCTCCTCTCCAGCCTCTTCCACCACCAATTGCGCTACCTATCCTGTCCTTGTCTGAACAAGTCACTTTTGCTTGCTCGACTAGACGCCCTGACAGAACAACCGGGCACACCCTTCCAAGCTCAACGTCGCACGATTGCCAACTCTTCACAACCTGCTTGTTTACTCCTTCTTGACAACACCCCCGGACAGCAACCTCCTCCCTCTGACCACACGCCTACCCGCTCCTCCGCCCATTGTCCTATACATAAACCAAGCTCCCCCTCCCCGGCCGCGCCACACGACGTTCACGATGTCGAACCCTACTCCAGCCCAGGAAGAATTCAACGCTCTGCTAGCAGCAAACTCCCGTGACGACAGCAAAGTACATCCCGAAGACCGAGATCACGACCGTCGCGAACAAGACAGCCTTGACCTCGACGAGGAAGAGAGATATCGTAACTCCCAGATCGACGCCGCCATGCGTATGCCATCTCTTGGTCAGACCGGCTCCGACCTGAAGCTGCCCCCAGCTAGCTTCGATGCAGGTCGTACCACTGGTGTCAAGGGCGTCATCGCCGATGCCCGCAACTACGAGAACGCTCGCAAGACTTCCTTCATGAGCCGCGCGCGCACCACAGTGAGGCGCTCCATCTTTGGCCTCGACAACATCAGCTCGCAGCCGCCACCATCACACAAGAGCGAAAGTGAGACGGACGAGGGCAACGGCAGCGACTCTGACGACAGCTTCATGCAGCAATGGCGCGAGAGCCGCCGAAGAGAACTCGAGAGCGACTCTAACAAGGTCATCCGGAACCGGAGAACAAGTCCTAGTGTGCGAATTTACGGACGTCTGGATGAGGTGGACGCCTTGGGCTACCTTGATGCCATTGAGAAGGTTGCGCGGGACACTGTTGTTGTCGTCTTCGTCTATGACCCAGAGGTGAGTCCCATTGGTCTGTCATTCCCAGTTTTGTGTGTACTAACGAGACTTCCAGTGTGACGTTTCTGCGACAATAGAGCATGCCATGATGCCTCTTGTTTCGCAGCACTCAACAATACACTTTGTTAAGGTACACTACCTTGACATTGAGTTCGACAATGCCGCCGTGCCTGCAATTTTGGCGTACCGCAACCAGGGTGACATGGTCGCCAACCTCACAGGCATCATTGAGATGATTCCCGATGACGAGATGTTTGGTACCGACACGCTGGCACGGCTTTTCCAGAAGCACGACATTCTATGATACAAACGCGGTCACAAACAGCACTCATCAAATGCAAAAACAATCTCATCTCTTCTGTTACGATACCCCCATTTTGCAGCGCGTTCTATTCCGCGAGCATAACGGTTCCCTCATTTTTTGTTTTACACCATTTTCATTGCGCATTCAGTCGTCTCCTCTCTCGCCCGGACTTTTTGGTTTGTGGAGCGGAGTTTTCTCTGGAATATTCTCGTCACCTTGGGGCAAGACGGTGATAGAACCCTTGGTCTTTCCTTCGGGGTTTTCTTGTTTCTGTAATGATGAAGGGGAGATTCATGCCCGAGATGTCGATTTATCATGCAAGAAACGTATTGGCTGTGGGTTTGGGAAGATAAAAATGCAACATCATGCAGCAATGGCATCTAATGACTGTAGGCTGGATTCCAACTTTTACCGATTTCGTGTAGAATTATCAAGTCCACGTGGACTCTGTTCAACAATTTCACACAAATAATGTGGGACGTGCTGCTCATGATTGCATTGATGTCGGTAAAATGAGAGATTACATTGCATATTCATCGTTTTAAGGGTCGCGTTTGTCCCACCCCTAGATACACATGCGTCCCTTCGATGTCAAAGCCGTCGCCCACACTGGACTGGATCCGTCGACGAAAGGAACCGATACCATGATGACAGCCTCCTAGGGCTGGAGGAGGGGGGTGGACAAGAACAAGGACAAGGACCTCGGTGGATTTTCTCCTTCGGGACTTGTCGAGATTTCATGGCAGATTGCGGGAGGATTCTGTCCCAGTACATGGGTTAAACGGGGGAGGGGGGACTTTCCAAGATTGGATCAGCAATGACAAAAGAATTGGAGCTCTTGTGTCTATCCGTACGGTATGGTATCCATACGGATAGTCTGTGTGTTTTGAGTGATCTCCAGCAAAACCAGGGGTTTGATGGTAAGGGGGTTCAAATTCGTTTAGTAGGGGAAGATTGGGGAGACACATGCGCGCCAACAGGAGGAGATTGCGATTTTGTTACTATCCGTAATCCTGGGGTTATAATACAAATAGCACAGCTCTCAATTGTTCAGTCTCAGTCTCTCCCTTTGTTGTGTGCTGTACCCTCCCGTCGACGTCCACCCCACCCCCTGTTCACCATTTCAGATCCGTTGTTGTTTCATAGGAACCAGAAACCACGAGCCCGGGGAACGAAAATCCCGGCAACGTGTTCCGGCCCGGGGAAGGGGAGGCTGGGGTAGGGAGCTGGCTGATTGACTGGCACGACTGGTTTGCTTTCCGAGAGCCCGTTTGCTCTTTGCTTCAGGTGAAGAGTATTTCGGGTTGCACAGGTTTCGAGTCCAGCCTCTTCTTTCCTTTTTCTTTGCACATCGATCTTTTCTCTTCCGCGCCTATTGAATACAACAAGTATGAGCGTCTAAAGTATGTGTGGGTGTAAGTCCCTTGCTTAGTTGGTCGGCCTGAAACCAACTTATCAAGGTGAATTGATACGTCATGTTTGTCGCCCTAGCTGCCATGAACTTGGTATTTGCACGCATACAGGCTCAAGACGCGGTGTGCCCGCGTTTATCTATCGGGCTCCGGTGCAGTCTTTCCTCGAATATGTTGCGCTGGTTGAGTGAGTACTCATGTAAAGCGCAAAAACTCTCATACAGCAACCTTCAAGCCACGGCTTAAAATGCAGGTGTGACGGCGATGGATAGACTTGAGTGATAGATTTGTATACCAGTCTCACGATGGGTGTTCTCGTTTCGGTGACTGCTGGCAACAAGCCGTCACAGCAGTCGGCGAGCGTTGGAAGACTTGCCCTTTCCGTAGGACGATGTTGATCATGATGGCGACGAACTCGAGAACATATAGACTTGCATAGTTATTTTTGTGTTCTCATATCAATCGCAAAATCTGGCAACTTATGTAAAGTGCCTTGATTTCGAAAGAATAATGGTACAATGGCTGTGATAACATCTATAATCCCCTTGACTTCTCACGCTCACATCAGAGATGATACCTGGCTAGTCCAGAGGGCCGAGGAAGCGGATCTTGAATTTGCACCGCCACTTATCAGTACTCGCGCATGAGCCACATTCAAATAGCATTGCAGCCACACACCCTTTTCATCGGCTAAGACATGGGATTCTTAGTCGCAGCATCCCCGCTGAGCTTCGATGGGAAGACAAGAGAGATGGCAAAAATGTGAAACATTCGGGAGACATGCGGGCCTCGCACACCCAAGGTCGAAGTTGAAGCTTTCTTCCCCCGCCGAGCCGTGACTGGATTACTCACGCAAGTATTGGATTTTGTTTTGAGGCGTCGGGTCGTGGTACGTGGCGAACCTATTTGGCCTTTTTCTTATGCCGCAAGCGGACCGAAGTCACTTGAGCTTTCCACGTTGGACGACTTGGACGTTTAAGTTGGTACCTTGCTTCAGCCTGGGTGACGGGTGGATGGAGTGGTTCAAGTTTTGCGCCTGAAGCGGCAGCCTGGAAGATGTGCCATCGCAAGAACCATGAAAACGACCTGTCATGGGTCTCGAAGATACGGAGTAACTATGCCCGGCGAAAGAGTAGTCAAGACGTTCGACCCAAGTGAAGCCAAATAGGACCTAATCCAAGCGGAAACGAAGCTAAGAGGTGATGTTGGGAGGTGAGCGGATCTTCCTCCGTCGAGATGCCACTCGAAGCCCGTAGAGGTTGGAGCTAAGGGTACCTCTAGGCTCCAAGTCGGGTGTTGGCACCACGAGCGGAGGTTCCAGGCGGGGTGATGGTGGGCGAGTGGATAAGGTAGCGGTAGGAACCCCACCATGACAGGTCGTAGCGGTGCGCGGTGCGTGGTGCAAGTCGCAGCTGGCACCAATTTCCCCCGGTTTGTTATCGATAAGAGGCACAATGATGCAGATCTGCTGTAACGAGCTGCAATCAAAGTGGGCGGGGGCAGTTGCCAGTGACATTCCATTTGAACGCAAACTATCCAGGCCCCGGAGCGAGTGACGCATACTCCGTTTACGAATGTCAGATGTGGCTCTTCAGGGTGAAATGAACGCCATACGTTGCGCCCTTTACTCGGTCCTAAATGGACCCCGCCCCCACCTCCAACAAGCACATGAGATGCGCCTGGCCGATGGCTGTTGGGTGATATGGCTGCCAGCCCAGGGTACTTTACACGAGTTAAGCTAGTAAAGAGGCAAGGTAGGCAAGAAGGAATTGTGCACTTATCTCAGCTTTGGCGCTTGACTGTTCTTGCCAGTTGACTTGGTGGCAGCTGCCCGCTCAAAGACTGCGGACGGTGAGGCAGAATATGAGGTCCGGTAAGGTAAAAGAAGGAAGGTAGGTACCTTCCTGGACCGCCTGGTCGTATCTTGCCTGCCGTCCCGTCGCCTTTTCGGCTGCCTTTCTGCCTCTTAATGGTGCGCCCGACTTGAATGTCTCTCTCCGCACCACCCACCACCCTTCAGGTGCATCCATCCATCCCGACGCAAACTGTCGTATTGGATTCTCCACCACATCTTTCCTTCCTTCACTTCCCATCGCCTTCTGTTCTGTCTCCCTCAGACAGCATTCAACTTACCTTCCTCAACGATCAATATCCTCCCATCCTCGAGGGAATCCGCCAAATTCAACCCCCCGGCGCGCAGACGCTTTGACGGCTAGGACCAAACGTGAGCAACGCCATCTGGTTAGTAGACTGTACCTTGTTCCTTATCTTTGTCGCAACTTCTTGATAGCGGCAGCCGCGTGACGTCTCCAAGTCATAGAATAGTCACCTCCGATAAACCGACCGCCATCTCGTCCCATCTCGTCCTATCCCTTCCTGTCCCTTGCCATTTCCCCACCCCTCGTTGGCCATTTCTTTCCACAAGGCAACACCAGCTGGCAAGTACGCAGCATCGAGCACCTTCTTGGTAAGCTGGGCCAGGCAGACAAGTACAGGGCTACAGGCAACACCTGCCGCCGACCGACCCTGACGACACACCCGAGGAAATAGCCTTTGACGACGTCCCGTCACCTACCTTGCCTGAGTACCCATCTACCTCACTTCACCTCACCACAATCCTGCACATCCCAAAGGCCCGACCAGAGTTAGTTGAATCTCCTTTTCTCTCTGCATCCCCCGACTCGTCTCTGCTACCAAGATATTCAAATTTTTTTTGGATCAGTTCGTTTGTCCCGAAGAAAAACCAACCCCTCCACGCCCCCCAGCCGCCGTCTGTTGTGTCAGCTCACGAGCGTTGACCTGTTCCATATCCCGCTTTACCCCTCCATCCTCCCACCACCACTACTGCCACCACCACCATCACAACTACTCCGTTCATTCCTTCCACCACATACAGCCGCCGACCGTCGAGCACATTCCGTTTTTTCCAGCTTTCCGACTCTCCGAGGCATGACGGGATAACACAAAAGGCTAACCCTTGTTATCTCGGTATGGAAGAGCAGCATAGCGCCGACAGTACCACAGACGTCGACACATCCACCCACAGCCCGGCAGCATCCACAACCTTGTCATCTTCCGAGCTGACTTTGAGGTTCCCCCGACCACAAGGAAACCGACAACTGGCCAGCTGGATTTCCTCCAGCGAACCCGACATAATGACTCCCTCAGAAGCACCCGAGGAAGCCACGGCCCTGTCCGAAAGCACATACGAATTCATCAATACGGATGACGAGAGCCAGGATGGTCGTGGCACCGAGGCCGAGTCTCTGAGCTCTTTCGATTACGCCCAGCCCGATGATGTTCATAGCCTCGCTGGCACCGAGCAAACAGAAGACATGGCAAACCAGTCCGATACGGATTCGCAAGACTCAGAGGATGCTGTGCAGGACAGGTCTCGAGCGTCGTCTATTCAATACGCAGAGCAGAGCCTCCTCAGCCCATCTTCCCGCGTCGCCACGCCGCCCTTGGGAGTCGACAGCTCTATGGACATCAGCCAGCATACCCCACTGGTCCAGTCCATCGAATTTGACGAGACGCAAGACCCAGTCTACTTCAAGCAGGTGTCAGTCAAACATACCATTCACAGCT